AATTGCAGATGTACCTCAGAAAACTTTCACTTAATGTCTCATACTCTACATGAATATTAAACCAATACGAAGTACAACAACATATGTAGGACTTGTTGCTACTGTGACTTACATCGTAAAAATATCTCCTCTTCAACTTGAAATAAAACCAATGACAATCCTCATAGTATTTATATATTTATTTTTGCCTTCCGACAATTGCAGATGTACCTCAGAAAACGTTCACTTAATGTCTTATATTCTACATGTATGTCCTTTGTTTTGCCTTCGGCCTCTGTGTTGTGTTTCTTTTTTTCATGTCCTCCCTGCCTNAGTATTTATATATTTATTTTTGCCTTCCGACAATTGCAGATGTACCTCAGAAAACGTTCACTTAATGTCTTATATTCTACATGTATGTCCTTTGTTTTGCCTTCGGCCTCTGTGTTGTGTTTCTTTTTTTCATGTCCTCCCTGCCTACTCTGCTGAGTTGGGTACCTTGATCTCCTTTTGCTGTTGCATTTGTTTTTGTCATCTGACTGTTTGCCCATCTTCCGCCTCTTTGTCCTGTTTGCTCCGTCACTCCCATGCCCTGGTGCGTAGTGCCTGGTGCTGGTACGTCACCCTTTGATTTTCTCTTTAGGCGGGTGTGGGAAGAGTCCTTCTTGTTTTTTTGTTATATTATTTTGATCGGTTTCCGAGGGCTTTTTTCTCGAACGGTCGGTGCGGTAGCTGTTCTTGTTTCTACCATTTTTTTTTCTTATTCCGACTGGTTTGTACACTATTTTTTGCGTTATTTTGTTTCCCCGCGGCGTCGTATTATATGCCGGGTTTTGAGACCACGGGCTCCCCATTTTTAGTGGACTAAAGAGCTTATGTGAGAAACAACAACAACAACAACAACAACAACAACAACAACAAGCTGTCGAAGATTGCATGGTTTGGGGTATCCATACGTCAAACGTCCACCTTTCTCGCCGGGCTACTGTACAGTTAGCGCCCGCAATTAAGTTTTTTTTTTTTTGCCTTCCGACAATTAATTGCAGATGTACCTCAGAAAACTTTCACTTAATGTCTCATACTCTACATGAATATTAAACCAATACGAAGTACAACAACATATGTAGGACTTGTTGCTACTGTGACTTACATCGTAAAAATATCTCCTCTTCAACTTGAAATAAAACCAATGACAATCCTGATGGTATCCTATATGCGTTCGTAAGCTTGCTAAAATACTACTGCGTTGATGTCCGCTTGTAAAAGCTGAAATCCAACAAATGCTTTGATCCATGCTACATCTCCGTGTTGGAAAAGCCCTTTCATCTCCGTTCATGATAACATCTTACCCTATTCTACGCAAATCTGTCACATCTACTCTCAAACAAGACGCCAACTTCAAACGAAAACGCGTTCTACGATGCGTCTACACTCCATCCCCATATCATTGGCGTTGACTGGTTCGAGGTCGATCTTGTTCGCCTGTTCGTCTTGACGCCCGCGCAATGCGAGCTTGTACGTCTGCACTCGCCGAGATATGGCCACCTGTGTAGCCACCGAAACGATCTGAAGAAGTTGTTCCTTGAAGACTCCTTTCAGCGTCATCCTTCCTCCGTCCCTTCCTCCCACGGCATGTGTCGCAAGTTGATCGATATATTTTTGATATTAATACTTTTTTTTTTAAAGACAAGTGGCCCGATAGGGACGCTATTGTTTTTCAAAAAACCTGTTTAGAGGGGGGGGGCAAAACTGGCTCAAGTCTGTCTGTCTGTCTGTCTGTCTGTTGTCTGTGACCAGCGTCGAAATATCACCCAGCAGATTCCAGCCCATTTCACCATCTCGGCACCAAATTGCAATTTAAGACGTGTTCACAACAAGTAATATTTTGCCCGAGCTGCTCCAACTTCTACCTTTCCAATCCGTGCTCGGTGCGTCGAGATAATGCAGCGTCGGTACCCAACTTGAAGCAGGGAAGTTTCTGGCCCCTTGCAACACCGAGAGGAGGCGTCGTGTGATTTTGAACCACGACAGGTAGCCTCGCACACCACACACCACACACACAGAGCCAAACACGGACAAACAGGGGGAGGGAGACACAGACCACAGCGAGGGCGAGACGGCGGGAGAAGGGTGTGCCATACACTGCTGTTATTAGCTACCGGCGGAGGAAGCGAGAGGATAGATCAACATTTGGTTGCAGCAGGAGCAGCAGCAGCGGCCACTCTCTCGTTCCGCGGAGAGGGGAACACGACACCAACAACCAACATACAGACGCTGCTACGCACCACCATTGGTGCGACATGTACTGCTGTACGCCTCTCGACAATTTTTGTGCGCGAAGGCCTAGTGTGCGACCAGTGCCTCCCGTACTAGCCTGGTTTTCCCATCACACGCTTGAACTCTTTTGAGATTTCTCGATCAAAGCTCGAACCAACAAGCGAAGCACAACAGNGTGATTTTGAACCACGACAGGTAGCCTCGCACACCACACACCACACACACAGAGCCAAACACGGACAAACAGGGGGAGGGAGACACAGACCACAGCGAGGGCGAGACGGCGGGAGAAGGGTGTGCCATACACTGCTGTTATTAGCTACCGGCGGAGGAAGCGAGAGGATAGATCAACATTTGGTTGCAGCAGGAGCAGCAGCAGCGGCCACTCTCTCGTTCCGCGGAGAGGGGAACACGACACCAACAACCAACATACAGACGCTGCTACGCACCACCATTGGTGCGACATGTACTGCTGTACGCCTCTCGACAATTTTTGTGCGCGAAGGCCTAGTGTGCGACCAGTGCCTCCCGTACTAGCCTGGTTTTCCCATCACACGCTTGAACTCTTTTGAGATTTCTCGATCAAAGCTCGAACCAACAAGCGAAGCACAACAGCAGCAGAGACATTTTTTTTTTTTTTGCTGTTAGCCCTATTTTTTAGTATACCACACCCCTCCCTCCTCCCCGGAGTACATCTCCCTTCCCACCCGTGTTTGCCATCGGGGTTGGATTTTCGTCGCTTGGCAACGAAGTTGTAAAACAAGCCACCCCCTCGGTGTTTGCCATCGGGATTGGGTTTTCGTCGCTTGGCAACGACGTTGTAAAGAAGCAAACTCACTTCGTGAACTCGGTGAAGGCCACTCTGACTCTCGAAATCATGGGTTCGAGCCCGTGTGGAGGTGTCTTCTTTTTCCAAGACATATTATTTTTCGGAGTCCATCACGTTGTTTGGCGCTCCCCACACCTTGATCAATATATTGTAATAATGCTGTGTAGTAAACGGGCCAATGGTAGCAACGCACCAGCCTACTGCAGGTGGTACGTTTTTCAACAAAAAACTATTCCACCTCCCGATCTAGTAAGAAGTAAAGGCTCACTCCTTCACGGAAAGTAAGAAAATAGGGTTAAGGAACATAGCTCAATCTGGGTCACACAACAGGAAATGTCTCAGTAAGAAACACAGCGGCGACCGCTACCCTACTGCATGAGAAACGAGGGGTTACGGGGGAGTGTGTTCGAATGAGAAACAACCCCACAGCTCTCTTTTCGCTCTTTCCCCCTCTCCCCCTACCCCCCCTTCCGTAGTGCATTATTATTAGTTGCACGGCGAGGAGGGTGTTTTTTTTTGCGGTTACGTGCAGCCATCGGTAGTGAGAATTGAGGTTGCGTACGAGAGCGAGGAAAGCACTGCAAATCATGTGTATGTTTTGAACGTTGTGTAGTCAGCAAGCAGAGACATAAGAAATTGCCGATGTAAGAAATTCAGCAGGATTTGGCTGCACGAGTATAAGAAACTTGATATAAGAAACTGAACGACATACGCTGAGTTTATAGCCCACAACAAGAATTCGAGGCTAGACCTGAAATAAGCGTTTCTCAATTGCGGGCTTTATCTGTAGTCCACATCTACCACAGACAGACGTGTCTGCTTTATGGCACGAAAAGGGGCGAGCTAGCGCAAGCAGCTCCATTCTTGCTCACAGCGCACGCACCGAATGGGACGTGTTTTGTGTTTTGCTGTACTACACCAAGCCGCGAGCAGTTCACTATAATACGCACCCGCACACGAGGGCTGAACGAATTAGTCGCCCAGGCCTTTAAGTGTGTCTCAAACAGCAAGCTGACCACGATGGCGGGGCTCTGGCCTAATTGCTAACCCTAGACAGCTAAAAATGCCCCGGAGCACTACCAGCTTCTCCCAACAATCAACAGGCGTCACCTGTCGATGCCCCCCCAAGGAGACTGGTTACAACAGGTGCAGGCGGCGGCGATGGTGATGGGGTGTGCAGCCCAAGGGCAACGTGAAATGAACAGATAGCCCAGGTAGCGATCGCCAGGCGAAAGGCACGGCAGTCGTTTGCCCCTGTGCCGATGAGCATCTCTTACCCCCCAAACGAACCACGTGCGGTGCCAACCAGCTCTACCGCTTCACCGCCTTCACAAAGGGCAATTGTAATTGTGATACGTCCGCCGCAGGTAATAGGCGTTGTGGATAACATTTACAATGCTCGCAAAGGGATATGGAAACCGAAGCCAACCGGAAGGCCGGGGCATCAACACCAACAGCGGAGATGAGGAGATCCGTGCCAGCACAGCAGGGAGTCGAATTAATATAGTCTAATAAATGGTGCGATGCCGATTAATACTCAAATCTCCAGGCAGGCGCAGGATCTGCGGAACGCGTTCATCATATGCATATATATGGCTGGTATTTGGGGTCCCCTTATCTCAAAAACCGAATACCTGCAGCCCGATGACAATCTATTAGGTTTTCTCAACCTACGCGTTTCGTTTTTTTTGTCTTCGCTTCAAACCAGCGCTCACAGCACTGGTGCCGTTTACCCCTACCCGTGGTCTTTGTCCTGTTTGCTCCGTTACTCGCATGCCCTGGTGCGTAGTGCCTGGTGCTGGTATGTTACCCTTTGATTTTTTCTTTGGGCGGGTGTGGGAAGCGTCCTCCTTTTTTTTGTTGTTTTATTTTGATCGGTTTCCGGGGGCTTTTTTCTCGAACGGTCGGTGCGATACCTGTTCTTTTCTTTCTATCATTTTGTTTTCTTTTTCCGAGTGGTTTGTACCCTTTCCTCGTTTTGTTTCCCCGCGCCGTCGTATGTGCCGGGGTTCGAGACCACGGGCTCCCCATTTTCTGTGGACTATAGAGCTAATGTGAGAAACAACAACAACAACAACAACAACAACAACAACAACAACAACAACAACAACAACAACAACAACTACATGCTACATACATTGATAGCAGCTGGTTGAAGTACATATTTGAAAACGAACCCACTCATCATTTAGACGCGTTTCACACGCTGCCTCGTAATGTTGACGACTTGGTCGAAAGCAGTGGTCTCCATGTCGGAATACCAACCATTGCTTGGAACATTCCTTGGATTCCTTGGGTAGGTGCAGCCCTGCACCGCAACCAACCTTTTCACCATGCAGCGACCTAGCGTTCTTGGTGCACAACAACCTAGCCCTGACACCGCATAGCAACCTAGCTCTGATGGTGCAAAGCAACCTAGCTTTTACCCCCTTCTGCACCACGGCTTATCCTAAACGGAACAGCTGCAACGTAGCTTTTTGACCGTGCAGCAACCTATAGTGTTGCCGCGGCTTGCTGCGGCCTAGTCTTGCGTGGTACTGCAATGACCGAGCACTTTTCAACGCCATAGGTTTGGGTCGGGGCGGTTGGGTTGGGGTAAGGGATAGCGATATACCTAAAGAGTTGCAGAGATGGCTCGGGCCGGAGAGATGGCACCGGTCGAGGAGTTGGCAACGGGGGGTGCGATGAAAAAAACGAGAAAAAAACGATGGAGAAAAAACAATAAAATGGAGATGGATCGTCGCGGTTCACGCGGGATGCCAGTTGTTTTAGTATCTTTACTGGCATGGAAGTTGCCAACTGCTCTCAACCAAACACACAACGTACAAGCCGCACCCTACCCCACCTTACACAACCTGAAGCTATTGTACTTCTGCGTACTGGTATCCATACAACAAGAGGACCGACACGAAAGCGGGAAACAGTTGATACCGTGTGACTGGTATCAACTCAGATGCGCTATTCAGCCGTTCTGTCGGGGTAGAAGTACACATGTTTATATGTATTTCGCCCCCTTTTTACCGGCCTAAATGTCCAAATGTGCGTGTGTGTGCAGAAGACCGTGTTGTTGTTAGTTGTTTTGTTGTTTCTCACATTAGCTCTATCGTCCACGAAAAATGGGGAGCCCTTGGTCTCAAAACCCGGGACATACGACGCTGCGGGGAAACACAATAAAGATAGGGTACAAACCACTCGGGAAAAAAAAAAAATGATAAAAAGGAAATAAATAACAGGTGCCGCACCAACGGTTAGCGCACCGACTGTTCGAGAAAGGAGCCCTCGGACACCGATCAAAATAAAACAACAAAAACAAAGGACGACGCTTCCCACCTCCGCCTGAAGAAAAAATCAGAGGGTAACGTAACAGCACCAGGCACTACGCACCAGGGCATGGGAGTAACGGAGCAAACAGGACAAAGAGGCGGCAGATGGATAGACAGCCAGATAGATGTACAAAAAACAAGACCGTATGCGTGCGTGCGCACCTACACTGGTACCAATCAACACATGGCAACGGTCGG